TACAAAAGTTAATCCCCTTTGTGACAATCAATAGCATATCTGAGATAATGAACATCTGTCTCTAATCTAAGCAATACTTATCCCATATTTGAAACGGCCTACGTTTCTTGAACCACTTTCCTAAGCTTGGACAGCTGTAAACTTCCTACAGAACTCTGCTTTTAATTGATCCCTTTTGTCCTAATAACAATCACGTTGTATTGTATGAATGAAATAGCCACATTTCCATTTGCTTCTACCTTCTCTGATATTTTGGGACTGAGTCCTCTCTATTATTTATATATTTTGAAAGACAAGCATATCGCATTGCTCAAATGACTGTTAAGATGGTTTGATTAGCAAACAATATGTCAGATATCTCTACATAAAACTTATTGATTGGCTTACTCAACCAAAGGTATTGACTGACAAAATGGCTTGAAGCCAGGAGGTTAACATGATCAATGCATCATACTGCATAACTCAGAGGATGCAGTGGCATAGTGGCTTAATGAGGTGAGCTCCCGCCACTTGCTCCCCAGCTCCTGCCCACCCAGCAGTTTGAAAGTATGCAATACTGTGAGTAGATAATTGGGTACCACTTCAGTAGCTGCATTCATGTGTGTGTGTGGAGGGCAGGAGCAGGCATTGGACCTAGCCGGATGTGAGGCAATGCCACACAAGGCAAGACCAGCAAAGGAGCCCAGAAGAGCCAGCAACCCGAGTGCTATTAGTCAGCTAGTTGTAAGCTAGTTTGCCCCCTGTGGTGCAAGGATAGGCATGCAAGTGCTGAACAGAATGAACTAGTAACTTTAAGTGGTCGGGACTACATTGTGTTTAGCATTTGTAGATTTCCCTGAGACTGTATGCCACACACTAAATAAATAAATCGCATAACTGATAGAAAAATATTCCAACTACCCGGGAGGAACTCTTTATACAACTTTTATTTGTTTAAGGTTGGCTTTCAATTAAAATTCCAAAATGAGGCTTTGGAGGAAATGGAGAGCCCTCTCTATAGACCAACTTTTACTAAGATTGATCATGATGCTGTATGAAAACCTTTCTTTGCGAGTAAGGTGCAGCTACGGAAGAGCTCTGCTTCAGTTCCCATTCTCAAGGATATTAAGCAAGGGCTATATTTTAACCCAACTTCTATTTAATTTTTACACTGGTTCTGTTGTAAATTTTTTCCTTTAACTGTAGTAAAAAGAATGTTCTAAGTACCTTTACTGTATTTTGCTTAACCTTTCCAGTCCTATGCCTGTTGCTGTGTCTAAACTGGGAACACCGGTCTTCACAAGGTATGTACTGTATGTAATATTGATTATATTGTAGGTAGAACTACCAGTCCCCAAATGGCAGAAATATATACAAATACTAGCCGGCAGCAAAGAGATATACTTAACGCTTTAGTCCTTCCTAGAGATGGTGTGGATTTTTGCAACCCACCTCTGGGGTATTTATTCAGTCCTACTTTGGCTGAAGCCTACAATACTAGGTTCCAATGGCACACATTGCATATGGGTTCACAGCAAACGTTTCAAGCCATAATTGAATCCGGGCACAAAATACACAAAGTCAAAACCATGCAAACTACCTTATAGCTTAGTCCCGGGATCCTTAAACTGGGCGGAGCACAATTTATAATTGTTTGTGTGTGAGTTAAAGATCTAATTTGGGACTTCAACTGCCAAGATACTTGTGTAAATCAATAGATGTTTGGTTGGTTTTTTGCTTCGTTTTAATTTGTTTGTTTGGATAATGGAAAAAAAGGTAACTGGGCCAATTTAGGAATCACTGACTTATAAATCAGGCCACAGAGATTTCTGTCTGATTTTCTTGCCAATATGAAGGAATTTTAACTTCAAGGGACCTTCCACACAACAAGAAAAGAACTTCTGCATTCTCCAGTCATCGACCAGTATTGAACAATGAGTTGTTTTCAGCACAACAGTAGTGTTAAAGTTCATGTACAACTAGAGTTTGTCTTCAGAAGCTGTGCCTTTCTTTCCTCAGAACTTCTAAGCATCAAATCCTCTAAGGAAAATGCTAAAGTGACAATGGGGTGACATTTCCTCAGTGACCCAGAGAAAAGGAGCTGGGTGATACTGACTGGGATGCCCATTTTAATTTTCTCTTCAGTACTGGGGAACTGGAGATAAAGTGCCAGGCTGAGATTATTATTTTTTTCTTGCCTATTTCCTGTTTTCCTGGAATGCGGTTGAGGGGATTTTCGTTATGCAGAACCTACTGTAAGACCAACAGGATGAAGCAGTGGTTTTTCATTCCTGTTTCTTAATATTTCCTATTGGCAGAAATGAACACAGTCATTGATCACTTTTAAATGCTTTTCAGGACTTGGGGGCCTGAAAATGACAATTTGGATTAGTGGAAGTTTGGATGGGCCTCTAGGGAAAATTTTGAAAGAGGAAGTGCCACTGCGTTGCTCATTTCATTCAGTGTGAGAGTTAATAATGCGCTTATTTTCTCTCTCTTTTCAAAAGAAACTAAATGAAAACAAAAGTTCCACTTTTGTAGAAGTTTCCTGAACACCAAATGTTTATAGCAATACGGGAAAGACTTCTGTCTAAAATTCTGGGTAGCTACTGTCAATCATTCTCTAATCTAATGCCTTGCCAATGTGTTGGTTTATAAATCCCATTATTAGCAGTGGTGATGGAATTACCAAAGCTTAGTAACATACAATTGGAAGAAACCACTGAGGCTATAAATTCCTGCACTCTGCTCAGGGCAAATATCTAGTTTAAAGCATCCCATCTCGTCCAAGAGTTACTTTGAGGTAAAATGGATGGCTAAATAAACAAACAAACAAATTCTGATGACCATCTAGTTCTCCAAATGAAAAGCCACCATCTCATTCATTTAATTTGTTCCACTGTCAAACTGCTTTTTATAGTAGATAGACCACAGCCCACCCCTTTATATTAAATTTTCTAATATTACTTCCCATGTCTTAACAGTATCTTTCCATGCCCTAAATCCTAGAATGATAGAAAGCAGGTCAGGATAGCAATCTCATAGCATTTAGACTTATATACCATTCCATAGTGTTTTACAGCACTCTCTGAGCAGTTTACAAATGTCAGCATTATTGCCTCCAACAATCTCGGTCTTCATTTTAACAACTTCGGAAGAATGCTTCCGACTCAGTTGGAACTCGGGACTGTCCTGACTTGAGACCTAACACCCGTATCAAACGAACGTTATAACGTGAAATTGGTGACGTGGTGGTCCTACATAATATAGGGAAGAGTTTCAGTTTATACAACTTAGTATTTATGTATAGAGTAAGATCATTGAGCTGTTTGGTTATCGAAATCCTCGTACAACAGGGTATTTAATACTTTCTGAAAAAATACATTGAACTAACACATTTATTATGGCATTATCATTAGATCTTCTGTATTTTATACCTAGGGAAATTGGAATGTCAAGAACCAAGCTCCATTACTCATCCAGGGAGTATATTAAGTTGTAGGCAATTTGTAGACAAGATGGTTCTTCCTGCCTGTTGTGTTCTGAACTAAGGGCAAAATGGGACCACTTCCCATAAGCTATCTCACACTTCATTTTAATACATTGTGTGCATTAGGGAGGTTCTGCTACTTTCAGGATTCTTGTTTGGTTTTTACAAAAAAGAAAAAAAAGAACTCTGAACTCTGTGGATCATGAAATAGAACGAAAGACAAATTCCTTTTGCCTGCAACTAAAAGACTGGATGGTGTTGAAAGTAGGGGAAACAGTTACAAGAGGAGATCAAACAAAGTGATCTGGATTTATTTAAGTAAACTTGGGAGCAATGTGGTGTTATGTGCTATAGTGGAAAATTAGAAAATGAAATTTGACAACGAAAAGCATTCAACATGACACATTGGAAAGGAATACCAAATGTATAATTACCAAACTGGGAGGAAGATTGTCTAAGCTCTAACATTACTGAGAAGGAATTAGAAGTCACGGAATAAATCTGAAGTGGAGCCAGCAATATAGTATTTCTTAAAACACAACATAAACTACTTGCAGTGGTTTTAACAGCATCCCAGCTTGCCAGACAGGAGAAGGTAATAATGTTATTTGATTTGGCACAGATGAGGCCTCAAGTGCAGCCTCGTGTCCAGTTACGGTCACCATATTGAAAAAAAGTTTAAACTAAAGTAAAAAGGGCAGAGAGCTGATATTATGGAGTATAAAGCATAGAAGTAGAAACTGGGGGATGGTGACCTCAAGAAAGGGATGGCGAGGCCAATCGGAGCTCTCTCCTTTAGCTAAAATACTCTCCATACCAAGTAGGAATATAAAAGTTTTACTTGATGCATCTGAAGAGGAGAGTGGTAACAAAACAAAGCATGGCACCTTAATAAATGCCTATTTTTCACTTCTTGCTGGAAGTAGTTCATTTCAGATAGGAAGTAGGCATCACACAACCCTACCAGTGACATTGTAATATTTATACATGGCTGCTAATCTTGACATGTGATTTCTATTCAGACCACTGCATGCCCCATTTAGAAAAGGGATGCAACTTAAATGTAAAACGTGTGTGTGTGCGTGCGTGCATGGGCAGAGATGTTTGGGCCAAAGAATACGAGTTCAATTACCATCATCTCCAAGGTTACAGTATATCTGCCTTTCCAAAAGAACTAATGCCTGTCAATGTAACAGTTCTGATCTAGATTGACTAATGGACTGATTTAGCAAAAGGATATTTCCTACATTCTATAGCTGAAGAGTTTATGCCAATCATTCTGTCTGTCTGGGCATAAAAAAAAACCACATCCCACTGTCATGGTTCCAGAACATTCTTTCCTGATGTGCCAGTTTCTTATTTGTAAGAATCTTTCCAAGATATTTTTAATGAAGTGTGCAGCATTCTCATCATAAGATTGGAGTAAATAAGTTGTTGAAAAACTCTGTAATGTTGAAAGAAAACTACTTAGAAGTTGTAGAATGTCCAGTTATAAAAACGTTTAAGGATGCGTGGATAAAGCTGATCTTTAATCTTTCTCATGGTATGCTAGGTTTTTAGGACGTGATATTCTGCCAGTAAGGGTGGATGGGTGGTTTTCAAATTAATATTTCATAGCAGAGCTATGTGTTACTTTCTTGCTACCCCATTTTGCTTAAAGAAATGTCATCTTCGACATAGGCAGACTTAAGCAGTTTTTAAAGATGAGGGATGTTTTGCTGTGGTGGTCTTAAAGGGCTTCTAGCAGCAATATGCCAGCCTTGCATGGAGAGAATTTAAATGAAACATTGAAGCCACTTTTCCTTCTGGCCCATTTCAAAAGACTGTGGCAATGTGTCCGCCCAAGAGATGCGAAAACATCTGCTCAAGCCAGGCTGGAGCCTTTTCAGCCCCTGTTTTCCCCTTGGTAATAATTGTCTATGTTCTGCAATCTAGAGAGGAGATTTTGTATGTTCTCTCCCAGGTATTCTAATGCTAATTTGTTTGGCTAAAAAAAGAGAAGAAACTAAACAGATGTGAGCCCTTTGGTTAAGTTGTACTTCATTTGTTAAGAAATGCAAAGGCTTCTTGGGAAGATATTAAATATTACCTTAGCTATTCCCCAACACTTAATATTTCAAAAGACGCAGGGCAGTGTGGATTGCACTCCATAAATCAACCTTGTTCTTTAAAAAGAAAAAAGAAAGAATAATGCAAACATTTGATAAATCTATGTCATTATGTCTGCAGATCAAAGAGCTTTGCATATGTATTTATGCAAGTGGCAACCTAGGAAACAATAATAACAAACATAGACAGCTTTGCAAAAATAAAAATTAGCCTGTTCTAACCTGTAATTATCTGGGAAATGTGCAAGGTAAGAGATTGCTGGCTGTGAAGCCTTCACACCTATGATGCCAATATGATGGAACTGTGATCAGCAGTTGAATGTCAGCAGCAAATTCCAAACCTGGAAAATCTGAAGCTGGCTAATATTGTGAAATGCCTTGCACTCAGCTTAAGTCTGGCTTAATGCCACAACAATATATACATCAGTATAGCTGATCAATAAAGATCAAATCATTTGTAATGCAATCTTTCATGCAGAAGACATTCATGATGACATCCTACATGCACTGATCTGAATCCAGCAGCCTGTTATTTCTAAAGAAACAACACATAAGAGTCAGCTCTAAGCTTCTGTCTTATGCTTTGCTTTATCATATGGCGGGAATTCTGTTACAGGGAATAGAAATCAGGGAACATACAATGGAGCTTAAAGAACCATATTTTAGCTTTGCATGTTGGCAAATCTACCCTGAGTGTTAGTTTATG